TATCAGTTTCATAAAAATGAATTGTATTTTTAACTGGAATAGATAATATCTATAGAAATATTCCATAGCAAAATCTTCATTTAAACAGAATAAAAATGAACAAAAAAAAATACTTGATCAGTTTTATCCCAATCGAGCTTGACTAACGATGAAACAGTAGGAGGAGCGCGTGTCGGAGCGGGTGCATTCGTCTCTGATGATACGGAAGTATCATCAGAATCAATTTTACAATAAAGATGTTTTGATTCACTAGAATTCATACCTAAAACAAAATAAATACGATTAAAGTAAAAGTTATTTATAACAATAGAATATAATTGATTAAAAAAAAATCATTTAAATAAATCAATATCAGTTGTAGATTTTTAAATAAACGAATAGATTAACCTCTCGAATTTTCCTGTTAATTCTTCTGTTTGAAAACGATTCATATATGGATTGGATATATATAGTAGGTAACTAATCGATTCAGTTCCTCCTCCTTTTTATTTGTCTTTCTGATTTTACCAATCCAACATCTTATTCATTAGCCATCTAACTATAGACAATAAAAATGGGAAAAATAACAACCATTCACTAATTTTCTAACTTCAGAAAGACTCTATTTGACTTGATCATAGCTTTGATATATGAATTAGTTAAAAACAAGATTCAAGAACTTTCATTTTTACTCGTCAAGCAATTGAACATATGTATTATCTTATATATAGGATTTCAAGGTTGACGATGGATTGTAAGATAAGATATGTTGATTTATTTTTTGAATTTAAAACTAAATGAAATTTGTTCAGGGTACATCATCTTGTGATGGTTTTGTTCGAGTATTTAATATTGATAAACAAACTTTAATAAAACAATTGAATGTTATTACGAAATCAAATGATATTGAGTAATATTTTATTTTTTTGAATATTTTTTATTTTTGTTTAATTAAATTAATTTAGAACTGCTTCATCGTTAGTCAAGCTCGATTGGGATAAAACTGATCAAGTATTTTTTTTTTTGTTCATTTTTATTCTGTTTAAATGAAGATTTTGCTATGGAATATTTCTATAGATATTATCTATTCCAGTTAAAAATACAATTCATTTTTATGAAACTGATAAATGGACAAGAAAAAAAACATATGAAAATGATTCAATTGATCAAGTTCGTTCTTTTTTTCTTAATCAAAATTTAAAGAAAAAATCTTTGTTTTTTTTTTAGGTTATTAATTTAATTAGTTATTCACCATGTCGAACATTATTTATTGTGGCTTATGTTAATGGTCAATTATCAATTGTTAATCGTCTTACTTTTGATATTTGTATGAAGTAAGAAAAGCAAACAAAAACATTTTCATCTTGATTTATTTTATTTAAAAATATATTTTTTGTTAAAAGTTATTCATCAAAAGATGCTGTTTGTTCATTATCATGGAATCCAACTCAACAATATAAATTTAGTTGTTCTACAATGGCTGTAAGTTAAATTTAAATAACATATCATAGAAAAATAATAAGACTAATTTAAATTGATTTGAACTTCCACATCAAACAAGATTTCTTTGCAACTGGACATGTGGACTTAGATTATTTTCTTTCGAATTGTATAGAATTTTTATTTTATCAAATGTTCACAAACGAAATGACACAATAGACACGAGGAACACCCTCATATTAAGTGCGTACTTTTCATATAAATCAGAATCTCAAGACAATATATAGATGTTTATTTCTCTTTCGTAAACATTAGAGTCTTGTGTGACAAACGACATTTTTCGGAATTCGAAACTATTCGTCAGAATTCTAGTAAACACGTCTTCTAGCAACTATTGTTTTATGAGCTTATAGAAAATATTTCTCTTTTTGAAATAATATATAACTTGATATTTTTTATAGATCGATAAACAAAATGACATGAGAAGAAAGATAAATAGTCGCTCAGTGAATCTGCAATAATTCATAAAATAAATTGAAATATTATGTTAAACTAAGGCCCGATATGGAAAGTATTTTTCATGATCTCAAATAAGATGATTATGAATCATTTTATATAACTTTTCACAGTCAATTTTTCAAGCATTTTTAGTGTTTTCTGATAACAATCAATATATTTTTGTTTTATAAGTTACAACTGATCATTTATTAGTTGTTTAGCGTTGAAACGCTTAGCTAAATAACGCTGACTGATATTATAGTGATCATTAACATGTTTTACTAGTTGTTTTAATTAATAATTAGAAAGTTTAATTGAAAGAATACTCATTGATAAACATTTAGTGTATCCTTATTTAAAATATTTATTAAATATGTTATGAATTGTTCCTTTTGAAATATTTATTTTATGAATCAATA